AGCATAAAAGAATTGATTGACTGGATTGATAACAAACATGTCATCTTTCTGTTTGTTTATTAGTTTGTTAGAACAATGTATGACCTGCCTTTCCACTAGGAAAAATCACTCAGGTAGATTTAAGAACATTAAAAAACCACAATACATCATAGTGATTGCGATAATAAAAGTATAGTGGCAAGAAAAGTGGGAATATGGGAGATGAACAAAAAACAAAACGCTTAAGAACTGACACAAAAAATGTGGCTTATGCAGTGCTGGCTTGTAACCATATTTAGGCTTAAAGTACAGATACTATATTGGAATATCTTTCATTTTGTGCTCATAATACACAGATCTTTTAGAGTTAGGAAACAGGAGTTGAAACAAAAGTCTCAAGCTCTAACAAGAGAAAACTACACAGAATAGCTTTTCCTTGCTGTTTTGCCTACAGCTGCCTTGGGCAAGTTTCATAGTCCCAGGATGCTCCCAGAAGAATGGAATGGTAAACGACTTTTGACTGTTCTGTACCTGGAAAACTCTGAAAAAGGTCACCATAAGTCAGAATCGACTTAGCAGCACATGATTATTATTTTAAACCTCATTGAATGTAGTTCAATTTTCTTGCAAAATATGCGTAAGATTTCATGGCAATGAAGAAAAGACATTAAAGAACATATATTGTGGAAACCCTTGAGGAATAACTAAAAAAAAAAACTTGTTCCAGAAGTACATCATGTTAACCTTTACACAGCCTTGCTATTTGTAAAGAAAAACAGCTGCAGCCATCACCACTGATTCTGTGATACAAGCCTTTGGTACAAAACCAGATCTTTAGTCTGGTGTTCTGGTCCCCTAGTTTGTAAGAACAGATATTACAGCAAGCTAGGAACAATTACTGATAGAGTTGTTAACTGTGATTTTAATTGACATAATTCCATGTCTCATATTTTCATTAAATGTTTCAGGAATCTGCCAAAAGTAAATTATTTTACAGATTTAATCATGTAAGTGAAGATAAATATTCTGATACTGGAAGGTGGAAGTAAAGATTAATGGCAGTTTTAATGTCTCCTCTCTTTGTTTCTCTTTTGAGTCAAATGGATGGATTAATGTTAGCTTCAAAACACTGCTGCTCAGTCTGGATGTTTGGAAGACTGTAACCACATTAAAGTGGTATATTGCTGTTAGATTTTCTGTCTATGCCTATGCCTGCGTTCTTCAGCTCTATCCTTCTCTGCCCTTTCTCCCCCTGTTGTCAATTTGGCTGCTTTCAGTTGCTCCCTTCTGGTAGCTGGAGAATTGGCAGCTTCCACCACTGCTATGTTCTGATGCTGCTTTCCTTTGCTACCTCACTGCTTTTTGGAAGCCAGAGCTGGCTGATGCATTTAAAAATGCCCTTTCCTTAATGCCAAGGAAAGTAAGGACTGGACTATCACAGCTCCCTTCCTTCCTTCCTTAGGAAAGCAAAGGACAGACAACAACTATAACATGCTACTGTGTTTTTCACTAGCAAAACATTTTGGCCTGCTATATCTGTCCTATTATGAACTTGTTTTGTCCCTTTGTGAACTTACACACATGGATAGAAATGAAATGCTGCTACAGCACATTGATTTGCTTCCCATGTTATGGAAATTCAGTAGAGTTCTTCTGATGCTCCACAGTTGTATCATTGTAATATAATGCATCTATTACAAGCCAAAGTGATTTCTGGGGGGTTGTCACAGGTATTTTTAATTGCAATTATTTTTATATATTTATATTAAATATGTTATACACAATGGTGTTTTATTTTAATCATCTTGGCCTATAGATAAATAAATTTAATCTGAAATCACATCACTCCTACTCCCTCCAAAACAGCCCCTCTTGCTCATTTCTCTCCCTACCTTTGCACCCCCCCTTCGTAGGACTGATGTCAGCTCTTTGGACCTACACATTAGCCTGGTTCATAAAGGAGTGAATGAGGCAAGCATACATTACATACCAGGAATGCTAGTATTCAAGATGGCAACAGGAATGAAAAATTGTTGGTGCCATGGCAATGCTGCCTGAGTCTCCTGCTCTTCTGGGTGCAGCAATGGCGGAGCAGTGAAGGGACAGCGGGACCTGGGCAGGGAGATGCCTCTGGGTCCTTCCTGGGTCTCTGAAGAGGAAGGCTGGAGGGGCAAAACGGCGAGGGAGGAGAACCAGGAGGTGGGTGGAGCACAGAGGGGGGCCAAAAGGGGGAGGTATTTTGGGGGGATTTGTGGTGGAGGGGTTATTCATTGAGGGGAGCTTTTTTCTGGGGGAGGAGACACGAAGGGAGGGTTGTTTCCACATCAAAAAAGTAAATTAACCTCAAAGTCTATTGACATCTTTTTTCCATCTCAAATTTTTATCTAGTAGAGGCAGAATTGCTAATAATATATACTACTATGTATTAATAATTATGTATTATCACATTAATATTAGGTTAATATTAAGTTATATTTTGAAAAAAATCTATTTTAATGTGTTTTCTTTACCCCATTACAAATGCCATTTTATGCAAATGTGGTGAAGGATCACAGGTTACTTGGCTATTATAAAAAGGGGTTGTGACTCCAAAAAAAGATTGGGAAACACTGTTATAGACAATAAAAAACCTAAGTGGAATAGAGCCAGAACTTTCTGATGCTTTTGTGTCATTTTAAAGGAATAAAGTATGTTGTAATGTAATTTAATTAATAGGTGGATAAGATAATTTCACTTGTTTACCCAAAAACAATCACAAGCATGCTAAAAAAGCAAGCTTTCATCGAACAACTAATAACAGCACTTCATGGAAAAACTACACTAAAAACAAAAAAAGACCTGATGTTAAAAGTAGGTACACATTTTATTCATTTATGACGGAAACATTTAAAAGATCTTTATTATGCATAAATAAAAGATGGGTACATATTTCCCCATCCATCATTCAGTGGAGACAGCTTCAAAAGATAAATGTATTTTGTCCTTCTAGCCTAGGAATCCTTGGTTGCATTTTTATCTATTTTGAAAGAAACCCTTTTTAAAACTTAAGAACACCATTCCAAAACGGATTAAGTTCTTAAGTAGAGGTTCCACTGTAATGTAATTTATTTAATAGGTGGATAAGATAATTTCACATGTTTACCCAAAAAACAATCACAAGCATACTAAAAAAGCAAGCTTTCATTGAATAACTAATAATAGCACTTCATGGAAAAACTACACTAAAAACAAAAAAAGACCTGATGTTAAAAGTAGGTACACATTTTATTCATTTATGACAGAAACATTTAAAAGATCTTTATTATGCATAAATAAAAGATGGGTACATATTTCCCCATCCATCATTCAGTGGAGACAGCTTCAAAAGATAAATGTATTTTGTCCTTCTAGCCTAGGAATCCTTGGTTGCATTTTTATCTATTTTGAAAGAAACCCTTTTTAATGTTATTGATTTAGTCTTTTATTGCATTTTAAAGCTGTGTTGTGAGCCATACTGAACATTTCATTAGAAAAGCTGGTAACAATAAAACTTGTACAAGTGGAAGAACAAAGTCAATACAGTACTTTCGTTCTTTCTTGATTTGTATCAGAGTGTTGCACAATTTAAAATTATGGAAGTATATGAAATATAGGTAAAATCAAAAACAAATTAAACAGTTAAGATAATTAGACTATTTTTTACCAGAACCAGGCCGCTTTAGTAGCATTTTCTCAGCCATTTGGCTAGATCTTTTGTACACATGGTGGGATATAAATTGCATGTACATAAATCCTGCGTTGATTGAATTTCTCCACCGTCACAAAGAATTTGTCCTGTATCAAGTAGCCCCATTTTACTTGATTATTCTTTGATTTTACTACTTTGCTTCAAAGTCTATTAAGTGACTTCCAAATTATCCAGCTAGAGTGTTATCCTGGTGTGACACACTCTTCAGCATTGGTCCATTTGGCAATGTGTGTCATTTTTGTTCTCCATAAGAGCTTTTCTATCTGCTGACTTGTAGGCTAATAGACATGCCAGAAAAAAGAAAAGAAAAAAACACAGAATGGAAAGAGGAAATGGAAATGATTCAATTCAGTTGCCGCTTCTTCGTTGTTTGTGTAACAGCTAACTATGGCACAAACAGTTTGAAGGGAGAAGAGCCATGTAGCAGCTGAGGTCTCATTTCCTCATCTGCTAGTAGAATGATGGGGAGAAGTGAAGATCAACAAGGGAGGCACAACAAGTTCTGACTCCTGTCCTTTGAAGATGTTGGCCTCAGAGACTGGCGAAACGTTAGGAAGAAAAACAGCCCAGCCAAACAGCCCAGAAAACTCACTACAACCATCAGTTTTTATATGACTTCCAGAAAAAATATTTGATAGATCAGTCTGTACTTATGGTGTTTACCTATAGTAAACCTATAGATAAAGATATACAGTGACTCTGTGTCTGTTTGTCTGTCTGTCTATCTATGACTGCTAAAAACAATACTATGTACATATTTCTTTAAAGCTGTTCAAATCTCTATAATTACACTGTTCAATAATGGGGATAAGATACAGAATATAGCTTGCCTAATTTGTGTGAACACAAAAGTCCCGTTGAATTACTTGGGGGGTGGCCTACTCCTAGGTAAATTCATAGAGGATTACTGCAAAAGGGCCAAACCCCTTTTTGTGTTAATCGTGCTTTTCAAGGAGTGTAACTAATGCAGCCACTTGTATTTGAATGAAACTTAGCTGCGCAAGGTTCCAACCCTGTAACATGCATTTAGTCCAAAACGGTGCCTATGCATTTAGCCTCTTCCCATTTTTCCATTGAAGAGCCATTCATAGGCCTAGTTGCACATAGAGGCACTGTTTATAATGTTCAGCTTGATTTGAAATTCTTTGGAGTTTTTGTGAGCAAGTTAAAATAAATATCCTTTCTGAAAATGTATTTGATTATTAAGCCAAATTACTTATGTTTCAGTTTCCCTCTAATACAAGATGGGTTCTGGCATGTGTGGTTAATATTTCTTTGATTTTATGTTTTTAAGGAACTGATGACCAAACTGATAACAGAGACCCCTGACCATCCAATCCCATTTCTCATTGACCACCTCCAATCTAAACATGGGGGACGTAGCCATCTTCAGAGAACATTGTCTGGATCTGCTGCTCTTTGGGCAGAAAGTGAAACTTCAGGTATGCAAAACAATAATTACTTATTAATAAATTCTAGATGAGTGCAAAGCAGCACATGTTGGGTGCAAAAAAGGATTATATATTTATCACATTCTTTTAACCTTCCAGAACTCAAGGATTTGTTTTTGGGATTACTACATTTTTCTCATCATCATATTCTTCTAAGGATGGTTTAGCGGAACATGACTATCTGTTTGGGTCACCTCAACTTATTGGTTTAGTGGGGATTTCTGTGCATGTTTCCCAAGCCTAATACATCAGAGTATTTATTCTAATAATAATCGTGTGTTGCTTTTTGACAATCATTTCCACAGTTTTCTAGGAAGAGAATATACAGAAATAGTTTACTACTCCCATTCTTCTGGGGTAATCCTGGGGACTGTGAAACTTGCGCAAGGCCACACAGGCTGACTCCACTCTCAGGAAGAATGGTGTTATTCTTTTATTTTATTATTTATGATGAGTTTATTTATATGGTGTTTTTTAAAAAAAACATAAAAGGGGTCAACATTACAGTATAAGATGACACATACAGGCAGATGTTTTATACTTGCGTGACTGGCACTTAACAAAGATTCCTGTAGCACACCAAAGACTGAACAAAAAATAGGATAGTAAATGGACTGGAACCCCTGCCATTGGGTATGTGAAATATTGCCCAAAGTTCTTTGCTGAACCAAAAGAATTCCATAGTTTGTTTTTAATTGAAAAATGAATGGAGGAAGCTGCCTGTATGACGAGCTGGTAAGGGCTATTTAAACTTTCTTCCTTGCTGCCCTTTGTCTCTCCTAACTGCTTTCCTGTGTAAAATTACTTACCTGTGTGTTTGTTGGAAAGATACAGGATCCTCTTGTTCTCCTGTAAGATAAAAAAGTTTGTGGAGGTTGAGTTTGAAAACAGGGAGGGGAAGCGTTAAGCAACTCTTTTCTTTGCTGCTTCACTGCACCCTCCCATGGCTGGTTTCAGCAAAAAACAAACAAACAAAAAAGCTAGAAGATTGTTAATATATCTTCTGTGTAATGTCTGGTTTGTAACTAAATAGGATTTTCCTTTTTTCCAGATTTAAATCACAGGATTATCTTTGTTTGCAGCCTCAGTGCAACCATTTCTAAGGGGTTTGTATGGTAATTATTTTTTAGTATTTAACAATACTTTATGAATGGATATCTATAGTTTTGTCTTTTTGGAAAGAATATCCGCATCATAACAAAGCAGTAGATAATTCTTGGAATTTAAGCCCCTGTTCACAACAACGAGTTTCATGACACATGATAGTGAGAAAAGTTAAATGACCCATCCTGTTATTCCGCAGTGCGTGCAGAATACTGGTTCTTGCTGTTTTTGTTTTTACATAAACCGTCTGTAAATGTCTGTTGAAAACGATAAAATATATGCAATTAAAAGAAATGCAATCTTATTTTTCTTCCAGCAGAAAACAAAGGAACAAGAAGGGACTTCAGAAGTTATGATAAACCATGGCAGACAAATGCAAAGAAACCTAAAAAATCAAAGAGTGATCTTGCTGTATCCAACATTTCACCTCCATCACCAGAGTCCAAATCATGTAAGGGAGTATAAAGTGTAACGAGTGAGTTGTTCAGATGTCTGTTTTGCAGCTCTTTAAAGATTGAAATAAGTGCAGAGTAGGAAATATCCTTTTATAACTTCAAAATGTATTACTCTGAATAATTTGTTCAAAGGAAGAGTACATATTATTGGTCTCTGGTTTTGATATTGGATTTCATACATATATATGAGACATGTCACATTCTGTGTTTTTTCTTTCATTTCCTCTGTGCTTAGATGTAGGAATTCTGATTTAATTTTAAAATAATATGCAATTCCCTTGTATATAGGGAAGTACTACCCTAAGCTAGCAGATAAATTCATTCTATGAAAAATTTGAATTCAGTAGCTTTAGAATGGTGGTAAGGATTTACTGATTACATTGTAGACTCTTTACTCATATTAAACATTTTGAAAGATATCATGTAATGACCTTCCATTTTTCTTAGTCATTTTCTTTAGTCATTTTCTCTAATTATACTTGGCTGAGTGCCTACTGAATTGCTATTACAAGAAATGATGGTGTGTTGGCTTTAGAACTGTGTAATTCTGCTTGTTCAAAAGTAGTTTTTCACTTTCCTTTCTCCATCGCAACCTTTCTATTATTCCTGAGGGTCAGAAGACCACAGAAAAGGTGTGGGTTGTAGCATGGCAGGCTACAGTATTAGGACTAAACAGTGAAAACGTTAATCACTGTGCAAGTGGAAGTGCCTTACATGAGCAGAACTTGTGTGTGTGTGTGTGTGTGTTTGTGTTTGTGTGTGTGTGTATACATACGTCTGGGATGGCAGTGCACTTGTTATGGGGCAGTTAAACTGAGTTGTGATGTAGTATCTTGACACATTGCTCTTTTTTCTGTTTATACGCCTTCTAACTCTACTGTGTAACATAAATACGGTGATTTATGATGTTAGGTATTGAGTGGTGGAAAATAAATGGCATTTCCAGGACTGAAAGAACTTAATGTAAAGGACCATGAAAGAGAGAAGTGAGGAAGCATATTTTTGTTAGATAGTGAAAGCTGTAGTGATAAAAAAAAAACCCTAGGAAAAGCTAAAATATATTTGTACATAAATAATAGCATATCTTGGATAGTATAGTTATATATTTTCCTTACTGGATATTATCCATTTCTGGAAAAAAGGTACTGTAATGTTAATTCAGGTAATAAGGTAAATGATTTGGCAAGTTTCCCTGATGATTTTAATAAGTGGTTGAGTTTAAGTCTGAGATGATCAAGAATATTATTAAGTAGTTATCTTAAAACTTTCATAAGAAATTATTACAGTGCTACCAGTGATAAATCATGAAAATGATGCCAGCTTTATTGAGAAAAGTTTATTGCATGTATATGTAGCTTTTGGGTGAAACATGTAAGTATGAAGCTTTCAGAGATGCTTGCTGCTTTCTGTTCTTTCAATGGCTCAGGAGCTGAACTAACAGTGATACCCCAGATGATGTGAGAGGAGCCTTTGTTGTTGTTGTTTAGTTGTTAAGTTGTGTCCGACTCTTCGTGACCCCATGGACCAGAGCACGCCAGGCCCTCCTGTCTTCCACTGTCTCCTGGAGTTTGGTCAAAGTCATATTGGTAGCTTTGGTGACACTGTCCAACCATCTCATCCTCTGTCATCCCTTTCTCCTCTTTCCTTCACACTTTCCTAACATCAGGGTCTTTTCCAGGGAGTTTTCTCATGAGATGGCCAAAGTATTGGAGCCTCTGCTTCAGGATCTGTCCTTCCAGTGAGCATTCAGGGTTGATTTTCTTCAGAATGGATAGGTTTGTTC